CTAAACAAGAAATGATTAAAAAAAGCAAAGAATACTATGCCACAGATAGTAAGCAATTAAAGCTGATCGAACATTTTAGTAAAGACTATAGTTCTGAACTAGCTCTCGAATGGTACACGGCCGACTCTTTTGTGCACAAGCTCGTTAACCTAGCGCTACGTAGCGAGAATATCGACCTTCTCTATGGTTTGCGTTTCTTTATCAGCGATCTTAGTACAGAGATCAAACGATCACAAATCGCACAACAAACTATTTCTGGAACAGTAGTATCGAAAATCAGGAGCGGGTCAAACTCTCGCATCAAACTATTCAGTGGTCAGCAATTGCGCAGGTACCGTTATTTCTATCAATAATTTCCTTTCTACCTCGATTGATCGAAGCCAGGCTAAAGAGTTCGCTGATCAATACCTATTACTGTCAGATATGCAACGAGTACTCTTCGAGATTTCATTGAATACTTCACTGCAAGATATGGCTGTATTTGCCGAACTCGAGCATCATACACATTTTCGTGAAGAACGAGAGGTTTTGTTTGATTTCAATACTCTTTTTAATGTGACTCATGTTGAGTACGATCCATTTGATCATATTTGGAGTGTGAAAATGATTGCCATTGCAAAAAGTTCGATCAAGGAACATCCTTATCTTAGCACGATACGAGAAATGTTCGTTCAGAATCATTCGGCTACCGTTGCCTTTGGCATCACCATGGCATATGGTTTTGAAAAAAAGCAGCAAGCAATTCGTTATTTTGATCAAATATTACTCACTTTGCCGCCTTATCATGTTGATCTGCCAGATATTTTGGAACAAAGAGCTATTTTGTATCAAGAAAAAGGTGAAAACAAAATGGCTTTAAATGATTATGAACGGGCTCTTGAAATTCGTCGCCAACGTATCCAGGAGAATCTATTGGGCATTGCTTCACTCAACAGTAATATTGGTAATCTTCAAAGAGCAACATCCAATTTCGAGGCAAGTTTGAATAGTCATCATGCAGCACTGACTACTTACGAACAATTGTATGGAACAGAGGAAGATCATATAAAAAAAGCGAAGGTGAACGAAAACATTGGTTTGACTTATTATAGCAGTGGAAGTGCATCCAAGGCGCTTGAATATTTAGAGCGTGCACAAGTCGCATACAAACAACTGTTGCCTGAAAAACACATATTCAGTATTGAACTTCTTGGACATGTCGGAGCAATTTATGAAGCAACAGGAAATTTAACTTTAGCAGAAAATTTATTTCATCGTCAACTGAATTGGAGTGAGACAATTCTCCCATCAGATCATCCCCTACTCATTACATTTCTCGATTCTGTCTTACGTATTCATATGAAGATGAATCAAACGTCCAACATTAGCACAATATTCACCGAATATCTAAAAAAACTCAACAAAACGCTTGGTCAGAAACATCCTATAATTCCTCGTCTTCTTGTTATGGTTGCTTTCTTGCTCGAACCAGCACAACCCGTCGATGCTATCAAGTTTTATAAGCAAGCTATTGAAATAAGCCAAGATTTAACACAACGGGATCGATTTACAATAGTAAAATGTCACAAGAATCTTGCATCATTGTACCGAAAAACTGGAAATCTGACAGAAGCACTCAAATATGCTACTCAAACTCTTAATCTTCAGCAGCAATTCTTATTCGAAGAAGAAAACTATTTACTCGAAGTTGCCGATGCACTAAACAACATTGGTATGATCTATTTAGAAATGAATTTATCCACAGATGCTCTTCCATATTTGACGAAGTCACTAACGATGTATCGATCGACGTATTCATCAGATCATCCCACTGTTCATGCCATTTTGACCAGTATCATTCATGCAGCCAACCAAAGTCAATCGATTAGTTAACAAAATTCAAATTAGAGACGCTTTCAAAAACAAATTCGATGGATTGTTTTGTTTCTCAAATTTGTGAATAAACTCATTCGAAAAGAGTACTGACAGATGGATGAACAGACTTTTGACTCGAATAAAGTAGTGGATGTGGGTGTAGGTGAAAGTAAATAGAAATATCACATACACGCTCTCTTTGGAGAGTCAGACGAAAAACCTGTTAGCGTGCCTTATGTAAAGCTCTCGACATATTAGAAGACCCCGGGTCTTCTATTCTGTCTTATCATTCACAAGTCACAAGAGGGGTCTTGTATTATGTCCCAAAAAAAAGTCACATTTTTTTGGTGATCTCAATGAAAAATCCTAATTTCAATACTTTTTTGTCTCATATACCGTTAGTAAACGACTTTATTTTACTTATCCGCGCTCATCATTGGAAAAGAAGCGAATAATATTTTAATGTCAAAAAGAGAAAACAATCGTTGGTTAGAAGAGTGTTCTTGAAACAATATAGACAACATATCTTAAAATATTTGTGTGATTTATAATAGGTCTATTTTTTCTAAAGAATGCAATCGATCACTGATGGCCCTTATGTTCTATATAACTACACTCTCGGACAGAAATCTTTCGCCCTCTTTGTTTCTATTCTATTATACTTTGCATAAAATTTATTGCCGAGTAAAGATATCATATCTTTATTTGATCATAAATTTGATGCAAAGTATGATAGTCTAGAAACAATGGGAGAAAGACTTTTACCCGGAGGTATAAATAACTTAGCGAAAGAAAATTAACTCATTATGTCAAAGTTATATGAGTTAGTTGCTTATGTTGAAGATTGGCTCGTATAAATAGAATTGAGTCAACATGAAATGTACCACCAGTTTAGTTATTAGTTTCTAGCTAATTTGAATGAATATGGTTGTCTACGAAGAAACAATTTACAGAAAAAGAGTGATCAAATACACGTTGAGAGTGATTTTAGAATCTTTTGCTTCTGCTTCGAAAAGCACCTTGGCATCTTCATGCAAAAAGAGATACTTCCTCAAACATATGAGAGGAATTTCATAAGACATGTCTCACTGTATGTCCTCAGAGATATATTTTTTCCAATTATGAATGAGATCTTGCATGATAAGAACGTCAGAATTTCTAGTAGAAAGTGCACAGACGAAGCGTAGTATTAAATAATGAACAAGGGCTTTTATCGAAGTTATTCTTATCTCAGAAAGATCTCTTCATGTGTGACACGTTTGGAAGCGTACCACGTTAATTATGTCCTGTGATCGTTGAAACGAATATTTTCGCAAAGAAAATCTAACAATTTTCTTCACAGCATGCTGCAAAGGAGCATTAAAGTGATCTCAGAACACGTTTTGTTTTTTATAGAGAAAACATTTTTTTTACTAACTACTCTTTCCTATTAGCTTTTTCTCATGAACTGTCCAGCTCAGAGCTGACATGCTGCTGAGACGATGGAAGCAAAATATTGTCCGCACTAAAAAAAAATCATAAATATTAACATATTAATAAATGCTAAAAAAATTAAAAAGCTTTAGAAATTATTAACAAAACCAATTTTCAGGGGATCTTCTAATATGTCGAGGGCTTTAGTGTTATTTTCATATATCTAGAGAACAGTCCATATTTTGTGCTTTTTTTGTCAATGGGCATATGAGTTCGAAGAGGGATGGCAGCTTTTTTTCTAACATATTGTGTCTATACTGCTGATATACAACAGTCTGATTCAATCGCGAAATATATGCACGTTTTGTGCAAATCTATGCAAGCTTTCACTCCTTTCTGTTTTGAAATGTTGTGAAATACGATTTTAAATGAGTTCTTGATTCTTCTTTTGATGACAAAGGACACAATTCATTGTGACATTAATGCATGAAATAAGCAAACAGGAAATCATACAAATACATTTAAAAACATCCCAGTGCGTAGATCGACTTTCTTTGTTTTTAAAGTTTTGTCGAAAAATGAATGTTGCCGTTGAAGAGTATTCTCTCCCTTTTGGGGTTTCTAGAGAATGGCTCAGCAGAAAGTTTAAGTTTTTTCTTGTTTCTGTCCTTCGAATAAAAAAGCCAAAATATTGAAGATATCCCCAAACAGTGCCTAATATATATTAACAAGTTTTCAGATCGATTCAATCGACTAGGTCGGCAAAATAAGAGTGTTTCTGTACTTTTTCAAGAAAAAAAATAGTTTGAAAAAAATGCAGAACAATTTGCAGTTTTCTTTATTTCCGTTACGTAAACGTGATTTTTTTCTCGAACTTTTGCATGTTTAAAGGCAACGTGAGGGTTCCAAAATGTACTCAATACACTGCAAAAAAAGTTCTACAATAATAGACCTTTGAAGAATTTACGAAAGAGTTTGATATACGTTGCATTTTCTAAACGCCTTCAAATAACTTTAAAATCGATGATCAAAAGAGGACACTGGAAAAAAAAGATTCCATACGAAACTTGAAAAAGATTCCGAATTTAGCAACGAAATAGAAACCTTTTTCTCAGGTTTCGTACAAAACCGTTTTCACTTGACTTCAAAAAGGGTTCCAGAGGTAAAATTTCATATGGATTCAAATGTAATCTCGCTAAATCTGCACCAAGCCACTCATCGATACGTATACTAATATATCTATGCCTATTTTCTCGTATATACGCCTGTTTTCTTAAAGCTAGTGCGCATCTTTATCACTTCAGTCTCTTCTCCTAACTTTATCCCTCCTAAATCCGTATGTAACGGGTGGTGCGAAAGTTTCTGGACACAATGTTTGTTCATTTTTGACCCACTTGAAAGTATTCTATATGAGTGAAAAGCTATGGGCTGGAACCAGAATTTTGTGCTCTTTCCGGAAATGAGCTCAGAACTTTTTTGTCTGATTTTGCTCCAGAGTAGTAAGGAAATTTTTGGAAGGCCTAAAAAATTAGTTTGGACGGAAAAATTTTCCGTGCATTTTCGTATTTTCACGGTTGGGATCCGAAACTAAAAGTTGAAACCTTTATTTATATGTCAGTTTGTAGAGCAAGATCTACCCTGCAAAATGTACTATTTCAGTTCTTTTTTATCTTTCGGCAAGGCACCTCAATTTTCGTTTTTTCTACAACCTCTTTTTTGAAAAATCGACATTTTGACCAAGAATGTTTTACGCAGAAAGTAGCTCCTGGCAAAATGCCTCTAGCTTCACTTGAGGAAAAGCTACAGCTTAGTTCAATATTACATTTTATGAAGAAGTATTCGCTCTACAAAACTACCGAGTTCAGCAATTTTTAGCATCTTTGCAAAGGAACTTATAGGGGTTAGCAAAACATGTTGTTCGTCGTCCAAACTGATCTTTTTGGGCCTCAAAACAAATTTCATTACTACTCTCGAACAAAAAGAGACACAAAATTTCTACATCGATATTCAGAAAGAGTACAAAATTCTGTTCCTAGATCATAGTTTTCAACTCATATGAAATACTGTCAAGCAGGACAAAATAAATAAATATGTTGTATAGAAACTTCGGCCCACTCGTTCCGTCCAAGCTAATTTTTTAGACGTTTCAAAGATTTCCTCACTACTCTGGAGCAAAATCAGACAACAACATTCTGAGCTCATATTCGGAAAGAGCACACAATTCTGGTTCCAATCCATAGCTTTTCACTCATCTAGAATACTTTCAAGTGAGTCAGAAATGAACAAATATTTTGTCCAGAAACTTTCGCACCACCCGTTATCTCTCTATAACATTATATAAGTTACAAGAAAAAGTCGTTCGGAGAGGTTTGAATCCTCTGTTATTTTGCTTTTGAAAAACAAAAACCATATTTTTCTTGCAGCAATACTCATCACAGCCATGTCAAATCCAAAGTTAATCAATGTCTACTAATAAAAATGATTAGCAAGAGTCATATTGGCGAAGTTCGGATGTCTCAAAATATTTCTCACAACTCATCTTATAGAGAAATGCTTGTTGCATAAAGTTCAATTGGGAGAAAAATTTAATTTGCCATACTCGTCATAGAATCTTTTCAATTCTAACTGACAATAGGTATTCTCAGGTGAAAATTAAATCAGTCTTAAGATACTTTACGTTCAACGTTAGAAATTTTAAAAAGATTTCAATTAGACACAATTATATTCATTGAAACTCCTGTTCTATAGAGAACAATATTTCAAAACGATTAGATCGACTTGACTCGTTCCTTTCGAATATTGAAAAAGATTCGTCAATAATGGCATCTTCTTCTATAGGATCACGTTTTGAAAATCGCTTCGATGTTGGTTTTGCAGACTGCTTCAAAATGATAGTATCACAGTTTTGATTTGTAGAGTCCGCGTTCAGGACTTGCGATAATTTTGAATATGATTTGGAAGATTGCTCGTTCGATATAGGTTTAGTATCGTTCCAAACAACGATCCATCCAAATCCTTGTCGACTAAATATACTTCGAAACTGAACTGGTCTCGGCTCCTTTGATAAAGAATCCAAGTTGAACCATATGTTGTTGTACTTCTTAGTGCACCAGATATGACTGTCGTCGAAAATGATTACTGCCATAATGTCATCACACAAATCTTCGCTGCAAAATAATAATTGCACTGAATCAGGTTAGAATACAAAAATATGATCTCTTAGTTGTATATTAATATCAAAGTATGAAAATACTCATCAAAACAAAATGGTTAATGACGTTCTTACCTGAGAACAGGAGGATCATCTTGAGGATAATATGAACTCTGCACATGAAATTTATTCAAAATGAAACTGATGATGTTATCATTTGAATTAACGAAGAAGAACTCTCGACTTCCTCTACAGCGATTTTGCATGTCGAATTCATCACAATACTCATAGAATCTAGATACAAGAAATAAGAAACATAAACGACGAATTTAAAATCGAAAATAATCGATTATAGTAATCATACCTTTTTCGAGAGAGAATCGATCTTCCAAGAGCATTGTTGATAGCATGCAGTCTACATGTATTAATAGTTTCTTGTTTCTCAAAAAAAATA